AGAGAGAGAGAGAGAGAGAGAGAGAGAGAGAGAGAGAGAGAGAGAGAGAGAGAGAGAGAGAGGTGGGTAAACGAAGGGATTGCTACTTGGAGGTGCTTTCTCCATTGGATCGGAAAAAGGAGTCGAGCATCGGTCTGTCAGTCTCTCGTTTGAGCGGGGCGAGAGTCTCCTTTGGTGGCATATTTTGCGCAATATGATGATGGGTATGTGATCAACCTCTTGATTGGTGGGATGTCGAGGAAAGAGAGGGGTGTCATTTAATTTCGCGGTCTGTCCTGGTTATTATTCGTTAATTAACATTGTTTATCATATTTATCATCTGTTTTTGACGTAGCTTATATAGATATATACATATAATTGAGTCATCTGCCTTTGAACGGAAAATATTCTTCCCCCCGTTTTTTTCTCCATTCGTTTTCCCTGCGTTTTTCTCTCAATTGGTTTCCAATTGACGATCTATGGATCGATCTGCCCCCACGTCTTCCTAGCTGTCTAATTTTTCGCCTATCTATCTTTTCCAATCCATTTGTTTGTTGTCCTCCTTATTTAAAACCTTTGTGTTTATATTCCCCGATTGTCTCTGAACCTTGTGTTTTGTTCACTCATCGACACCCATTTTTTTGCCGATCTCCTCGTCCTCATTCTCTCTCTTTCTGTTCGTTTCCTTCCCTCTTTTTTTCGCTCTCTCTCCGTTCTTTCCAATTAATGGCCTCTTCTTCTGTGAGAGATGTCATGATCTCATCGTATGTATCGAGTTGCTGGGCTAGAGTCCTCTGATTATATTTTGCATAACCCAAGGATTCCGATCCTGTTGTGTTCGATCCTATCCTCGCTCTGCAGATTCACGCCCCGTGCCGTGTTTTCGGTCCACGCAGCGGTCTTTTTGGCGCGCTTTTTCAGTGTTCTTTTTGGCGCGAAATTGAAATTGCCAGTGTTCTCTCTGGCGCGCAGTTGTTGTTAGGACTGCTGTGCTGAAACTTCTCCCGCCAGTTTTGTAATCGGACCTATGGTGAACGTTCTCTGAAAGATCTCTCCCCACTTTTGTCTGTCAACAGCTGCTGCTGCCCTTTCTCCTCTCAGATTTGATTAGGTGATTGTCACGGTTGTGATGGGTTCATTGCCATGTTTCTGAGGGGGTGATTGTCATGGTCGGTGTATCGTGTACTGTAAACAGAGGGGTTGAGGGAGAGAGTTTCGCGTAATATAAAAGCTGAAAGGGTGATACTAGTCTGCGTGCCGTGAATCAACCCACAAGAGAGGACGAGGGTTCGGTGCGGATTTGCTATCTACGTTGTTGGTTTCGCCGATTAGTCGATTGCTGCTGGTTGGAGTGTATCTTCTTCCGGAAGCCGGTGAGCGAAATGGTCGATGGGTTCATACGATGTCAACAACCAATGCCTAGGAGCTGATGAGGTCAAGGTTATGCGAAGTCGGTGATCGAAAAATCTCGTCTCTATCATTTATCTTGTTGTAAATTAATTGCGGACGATCTCTACTGAGTAGTCGGTCCATTTTGAACGCTACTAGCGAGGATCGATGAGGTCATGGTTATTCCAAGTCGGTGATCTTCTACTGATTAGTCGCTCCATTTTGAACGCTGCGAGCGAGGAGCTGGTGCTCTATCTTGAGGGCATTAAGAGTCTCAAGGAGTCGAGAAATAACTAAAGTCACTGCTGAAGGAGGGAGGCGACTCGCATCTTCTCGGCAGACGAGGCGCGAGCAGCGGAAGGAGGGGGAAGACTCGCATCGCTGCGGAAGGAGGGGGAAGACTCGCATCACCGCGGAAGGAGGGGGAAGACTCGCATCACTGCGGAAGGAGGGGAAGACTCGCATCACTGCGGAAGGAGGGGGAAGACTCGCATC